AAAAAAAAAAAAAAAAAAAAAAATCACGCTTCACATATCTGAAGACTTATCAAACCCCCCTTCAGTCTCCTCTTCCCCGAGGAATAGCCTAGCTCTTTCAACCTTTCCTCACAAATCTTGCTTCCCAGGCCTCTAATCATTTGTATTGCTCTCCACTGGACACTTTCCAATCTGTCCACATCTTTCTTGAAATTTGGGGCCCAACATGGGATATAAGAGTCCAGGTGAGGCCTCATCAGTACCAAATACAGCAAACGAATCACTTGCCTTGATTTGCAAGTGACATTCCTTTTAATACAGTCTAGTATGTTGCTGGCCTTCTTTTGCAGTAAGAGCACACTTTTGGCTTATACTCAGCTGATGGTCTGCTTGAATCCCCAGGTCCTCTTCTGCAGTACTGCAGCCTAGCCCGTCATTCCCCATTCTGTATTTGGGTATTCAATGACTGTGTCCCAAGTGCAGGACTTTGTACTACTCCTTGTTGAATTTCATGTGGTTGATTGTAGACCATTTTTCCAATCTAAGCAGGTCATCCTGAATCCTAGTCCTACGCTCCAGAGTCTGCAAATCGACCCTACTTGGCATCATACATTTGTTACTTGTGAGCTCAATCCCATCACCCAAATATCAATTTCCTCCTCCAATAGTAAACAATGACAGACCCAGAACGAACCCTTCAGAAACCCTCCGATTGATGTACTGGATACATAAAGAAAAATGTTTGATCCTATTTTGCTTTTAGAACTGCTTATTCCCTATACTAATAAGATTGTACTGACTTTCTGGCCACCAAGACTTCAGACCTTTCAAAGCTGACCCTCTGCAACCTAGCTTTTACTTATATATTGAAAAAGAGGAAAATAAGCTTTCCTACATTTTCAACATACCAACTGGTTTCTGAACTTTCAATGATCTAGTCATTGAATTGCACTAACTGCATAAATTAGAGATCAAGAAAATGTTCTCTCTCTAAAAACCACCTGGTTTAGCATTTTAGCAGATTTTTGTTCCCATTACTTAGCTAGTAAATTGAAGTTCACCGTTTTGATTTTCAAGGATTAACAACTAACTTTATTTACATCTGTTTGAATAAGGCACAAAACAATCATGTTTGCCATAATTTAAAAATACATTAAAATATTAATTTTAAAGAATTAATTTATAATGTATTTCTAACAACAAAGTCATGTTTAATTTTTGCCCAAGCATTCTAAGCAGGTTTAAAAATTTTTTTTAAATTAAATAAAAACCAAACAAACCAGTTTGTTCAGGAAGACCTGAACAAGTTTCTCCAGGCCTTTAAGGTGCATTAAAAATTAACATTAGAGGTTCATATCCTTCCTCACTTAGTACCTTAAAGAAACCTGCATATAAGGCATCACACCACTTGTTGATCTGAAAGTGTTCAATTATGATAGATGGTGTCTCACCATCATCCAGTATATGAGGGTAAGCTTCGTATTCCATCCTCAATGTGATCTGGGGAAGGATACGTACCTCTCATTTCGTCCCAAATACTGAACTGAAATATCTACATTTCTGTTTTTCCTGTAACCCTGTTAATAAGGAAGAGTTTGAAAACCAGTAGTAGTGCCTGATAGGTGGTATACTAGATTTTGCTAACTGCAAGGGGAACAGAATCCTAAAGCAGGAGATCTTTATGAAAGGGTCATTTCCAATCTGCAAAATTCAATTACAAAAAATTATATCAAGAGCATATATACCATCCAAGTGAAGAATGAAATTATTGCCTGTTCAATTTTATCCAAAGTCACTAGCATGGGAGGAAAGCATTACTGTTACAGTAAGAATAATACACAGTTTAATAGAGATCAAAGAGTCCATTTGTTGTTTTTCTTTTTAAGGAGCCATCATGTTGCAAAAGTCTGGAGAACAAAGAAATCTAGGTGTAAGGGGAAGAATGGAATCGGAATCAACACCGGTCCTTATGGGAGGCAGTAGGCTGCTCCAGGGGGCACCAAAATCCTGACCTGCAAATTGATCCAACTAATTTGTCAATCAAATATTTAATAAAGTGCCTCAATTATCTCACTAAACGAGCTAGTTTACATAGATGAACAAGGTTTTTGTTCCCTCTTAATCCAACATTGTAGCTTTAGGCAACTATTTTTAGAATTTCTCTCAGTGTCCTTCTGTAAACTGGAGAACACTCTTTTTCAATTTTTTTTTTTGCACAAGTTTTTGACCCTGGGATTTCCCGGGGTCAACCCCCCCAACACACACACACACACACACAC